TGAAATAAGGTTTAGATGGAAAAGGCCACAAGTATCAAGGGAAAAAAGAAAGGGGCTGTTGGGGGAAGTGAGGATAGAAGAGTAAATGAGAATAGGTGTGTATGTATAGGTGTAAGTATAGATTGTGACATTATCGAAAGGGCTTTGCCATGTTTCAAAATTTGAGACGTATAACAATTTTTGTTTTTATTGCTATTATATGTGCACAATGATGTACAAAACAATGGCCATGGAGCACTTATTGTCCTCGAGATGCATTTGATGCTAGACATGGATTTATGTCTTGCAGATCAACGTTAGAAATTAAAATTGGCTTGGTGTTTTGTAAGTCACATGTCTTTGTCAATTTGAATATTTTATTTTTCAAAGCATGTATTGTAAGTTACTATAATGGTGGAGTAAATGGCATTTTCTATTTATGTTCGCAAGGATTGAACTAGAAATCTTTGTTGCTTATAAACCTTCTCTTTCTTGAAGAATTTTTTGCAAATGTAAGTTAACATAATTTGGTCGAATAAATGTAGAATACAAGGCATTTTGTATTTATGTTTGAAAGGATTGAATTAGGCTGTTTCACATAAATATTAGGAGAACGTCGCAAGTTTTTATGACATTTAACTAGGAAATTTTAATATTTATACTAAAATTCAACCATTGTGAAATGAATAATGCTACTTGGTGCACGTTCAATCAACTGACTCTTTTGCAATCTTTGCTTGTTAATTTAGCTTGTTTTATTTGCACAAATGGTCCTCAATGTATGGGTTCACCACGGAAAAATGACCTACCCTTTCATTCTTGGCAAAACGTCCTTTTTTTTTTTAAAACATTTGGCTGCAATTGGTCCCTTCACGTTCGAGGTTCATTTTATTCTTTTATGTATTTGGAATATAAAAAAATCCTACATTTGTTGCTTCGGAACGTCTTTTCACTGATTGGAAAGTTTATTCTGGCTTCAGATGAATCTAACAACTAACATATCAATTTTGAATGCCTCAATATTCATTTGTACGAATTGTGGTGTCCTTGATTTAGATTCAATATAGTTGAAGTTGCAAGTAGAATCGTCTTTTACTTGACTTGTAGCATCGATGTCCAAAATAATTACCTTGTTTTCACTATTGAATGACTGCTGACATAAATGGGGCTTATAAATAGATTTCAGATAGCCTAATCGCTGTCCGAACAAATGCATGGTTTGGTGGTATGCATTATGGATATTAATGAGAACAATTCGAATTGAGATTTTTGTGTTTAGTGATAGCTCATCTTGACTAGAGAGATTGAAATCTACCCCTCAATTGGATGGTTCTTAATACTCACTTCATCCCATAAAGATAAACGTATTTTCATTTTTCATATGTCACAAATTATAAGTCACTTTCCATGTTGAAGGTATAATGGATTTTTTAGTTTTCTAATATACTCCTATTTAATATACCTTGTTATCAACAAATATGAACTATTTATAATTAACCAATTTTTTAATGTAAGAGGCCATTGGAAAAAATATAAGAAGAATTTATATTTTCAATTATATTAATTAAATTTTCTTAATCTGTGTGAAAATGAAAACAAATCTGTTTTTATGGGACAACGAATACTTATTAAGAAATTCAGTAGTTCACTTAAAAATATTTTTATACAATAAGTTGGCTTGTTTACGTAAAAAAAAGTACGAAAGTAAGTTACGTTTCTATCAAAATAATTAACTTCAATTTTCTAATTAGGTTCAATAAAAAATTATTTATTTTAAAACTTATTCACTTATAAGTAAACCTTTTTAAGCTTAACCAGACATCTATTACGTTAGAATTAAAACTGTAAGTGTTATGTTCTATATTCAATTAACTTTGGACATAAGCACTATTAATATATAATTGATGCTCTTCATTTATGACATATTTATTATTTAATTTAAAATTCTAATAAATTAAATAGTAGATCTATAGATTCAAGTTTTAATAATTTGTTAATCACAAAGAGTTGTGATTATGAGATACAAATTACATGACTGAATTTTAAATCATCCGTGGTCGTAAGTAGTAACGAGATACAAATATCGTTATTACAGATATACCATCACGTGTAGCATTTCTTGTGAAGTAAGTAACCGATCTCCTAAATTAAAGTGTGGTGACACTTAAATAAACACGTGAATATTTTGTAATATAACAAAACATTGGAGACCCATTGGGAAGATTTTAGCTGGATATTAGAGCGTTAGTGGTTAATCGCTAACGTTCGATAGTGGAATTGGTCATTCGACTGGAGATCATTATAGTATCTTATATGAGGTCCGTCATAATTTGGTGATGTTGGAATTGTCGTTAAAAAGACATCGTTCGAGTATGTTAAGAATAATATGAATGTTGTAAATGATCAATAGAGAATTCTTCACTCTTAAATAGTAAGAGATTATAATTTATATTTCATTCAATTAAGTTGATAATGGAATTCTTGGTCAAAGTGTACTCATAAGTTGAAAAGAGTTTTCGACTTATCTTGATTTAATAATGGCATGAAAGATATGATCGATAATTGAGATTGACACATATCCATATCTCGCAATTGATCGGATCATATTGATGAAAGAATTATAATTTCACAGTAAACGAA